CCCCCCCCACCCCCACAAAGAAAGAAAAAAAAAAGGGCTAAACAAATATAAAAACTTAAAGCTTATGGGTATTAAAACAAAACTGGAAAACATTAAGATATCATCTCACCTTGAGAGTCAGAAGCAAATTCAGTGTCGAAATTGCAATTTTTTTGCCCTCACGATACCTTGGTGTAATGTTGACATGGTAAGGCTATCTGGCGGTATTCCCTTGGCTGACATATTATCTACAAGAGCAATAGCCTTGTCCACAAACCCCCGCTTGCAATAGCCACATAGGAGGGCTGTGTATGTCACAGTATCAGGTACTAAACCTCTATCAATCATTTCATCAAAGATGCCAATAGCATCTTGAAAGTTATCTGATTTGCAGTGACAGTCAATCAAAACTGTGTAGCTAATGACATCAGGTGTTAATCCCATTTCCTCCATTTCACACCAAATGGCTGAAGCCTTCTGCTTCACTTCCTCGTTATTTCTTGCATCTGTTTGACATCGGGCCTTTTTCCAATTTCCTTTAGAATAGCCATCAAGTAATACTGTAAAAGTGATAATATCGGGACTAATACCCCTTTCCTTCATATCACTAAAAAGATTTTGGGCCTCGTGCAGGCAATTCACCCTACAATAACCATTCAATAATATGGTGTAGGTAATTACATCTGGAGATAATCCTCTCAAAGCCATATCGTCAAATGCCAATCGGGCATTTTTCACATCACCAGCACAACAAAGAGCAGCAATAAGCCTGTCATACATTTTCTTACGAGGACCGTCATTCAAGGACAGCACCCTCCCAAATAGTTTGACAGCTTTGTCATATTCACCTTCCAAACAGAGGCTGTTAAGGAGTTTCAAACGAGAAGCCTTTTTCACAGAGTACCCTTCCCTGAATAACTTAAGGAAAAGCTTATATGCCTTCATTGAATTGTCAGATTCACAGTACCCGTTAATCATGGCAGAATAGTTTTCTATATTCTTATTTTCCAATCTATTGAAGTACATTTCAGCTTCCTCCACCTTTCTTCCTAAACATAAGCCTTCAATTATCAAGTTATGCGTTGCGGTGCCTGGAACCAAACCTAGTCCTTTCATATCATCCAGAAGAAGAAATGAATATTCTGCAAGACCACTCCTAGAGACCCCTCCAACAAGAACATTATAAGTAATAAGATCAGGCTTGGGACCCTTTTCCTTAATTTCTTCAAATAAACTTAAAGCATCAGACATTTTTCCTTGGAGACAATAACCATTAATCAAAGTGGTGTAGTGCTTAATATCTGGAATCATTTTTTTAGCCTTCATCTCATCAAGCAACAATACAGCCTCATTTAAATTTCCAATTTTACACAAGGCATCAATCACCACACTATATGCAATTTCATCAAGAAACACACCCAACTCCTTAAAGTACTTGAACTCATCTACTGCCTCGGGTGCCTTGTCATGTTGGCACAAGCTCTGAAGGATTAAGGTGACAATCACACAATCAGTTTTTACACCCTTCACTTCCATCTCCTTGTGGTAAGCCCGAGCCTTGTCTGTATTCCCAGACTCACAATATCCTTGAATTAAGGCACGATAACAATCTTTATCAGGAACTAATCCTTCCTTTTCCATGTCAACTAAAATAATCTCTGCCTCTTTCAGTTTCTTTTCCTTAACAAACCCATGAATTAAAACTCTATAGCAATGCACATCGATTGGTACATTTTTAGTTTTCAGAGCTCGTGAAACTTCATAACCTATATCTGACCAACCACGCTTACAAAGTCCTTCAACATATGTAGTATATGTCATAACATCTGGTGTCACCCCAGCTTCCTCCATTTCCCTAAACACACGATCAGCTTCTTCAAAACAACCCTTCCTACAATACGCCTTGATCACAATCCCATAGGTATATACATTTGGGTTCGGGCCATGCTTCTTCAACTCATTATAAATTGCAACAGCTGAGTCCACTTTCCTATGTTCAACCAATCTATTAATCAGAAAGTTACAAGACCACAAACACGGACCAACTCCACACCTCTTTGTCTCGAACAGTATGTAAATTGCCTCATCAAACATGTCTAAACTGACATATGCCTTAATCAAAGCATCAATAGCCCGAACTAACGAACTGCATCGCTCGAACTTAATCGCCTTAACCATCGCCTCCAACAAGTCCAACACTTGAAAACCGAAATGCACCTTTTCCAACTTTATAACCTCTGACAAAACATGAAATAACTTCATATTCATGCGCCAATAACAAAGTATCTTTATAATTTCCACGTATGTCCAAACATTATGTAGGAATCCACGTTCCTTCAATTGGTAAAAGAAAGACAACGCAGAATAGGGTTCTTCTTTCAAATTATTTAGAATCTCAATGACCCCATTTGAACTCAATTCTACACAATTATTGTTACTATTTCTCTTTTCTACACAAATAATATTTCTTTCGGTACCTGAATCTGAGTCATCAGAAAACGAGTCAGCATAGTATGGATTAAAATGGGCAAGAGATGGAACGGACTGAAATCGAATAAATTTGAGGTTCTTGAATAGACGCTTGACAGAAACTTGTCTGATTGCAGAAACCCTCATGGATCTTTCAGAGAAATTGCTGAAAGCGTTTTGGTTCTTCACCCCTATAACCTTCGACAATAAAATGGAAATTCCTCCAGTGGGAGTGAAAGCCACGCCAAATGCGAGGTGGATCGAGCAGGGTTCAGCTCGGCGACATATGTGTTCTTTTTCCTTTACGTTCTCTCTCTCAAAACATAAAGAAAATTAGGGTTGACCCCTTAGTTTCTTGGCATAGTACCGTTATGAGTCTCCTGCTTTGCAAAAGTTAAGCCCCGGTTTGCTCACATTGAAATGAAAATGGGTAAAATAATGTTTTTTAAAAAATGAATGATTGAAAAATAAGAAAATTTTTTTTGATTTACATGTAATATTATTTTATAAAAAATTACGTAATTTAAAATATAAGAAAGGAAAATAGAATGAAATTTAATGGGGGTGGTCAAAGGTACACGAGACCAAAATCATAAGTATGAAGGATAAAATTCTTCTGATTAGATGGTGGTGTCGAATACACGTCGGATATCGACACTCTTCGAACACTTTACATGATCATTTTTCTTCTTTATTTGAAATGTTATATATTTTTAACTTAAAGTTATTACTAAACAACAAATCAATACTCATCTTAAAATGATTTCAACAAGAAAAAATAAACTGTATAAATGAAGAGTTTTAAAGAAATTAATTAACGTGTCGACGTATTGTTTATGTACCAGTATATCATACAATATTAATTTGAGAGCTTTAAAGAATTTAAGGAGTTCGGGAATTTTGATGTCTTGAAGTTAGATGGTAAAAATGACAAACTACTTAATATTACTCTCCAATTCAACTGAAAGTCGCATGTAACTTTAACATTTATATTGATGATTTTGAGTCACATGGGGACCAAGTTCACATATATAAATAGGTTGATTACCCAAAACATCATTTTCAAAGGTTGAAATCCACAACTACAGCATATAAAATATAAGATAATATTTATTGAATTACGAAATTCACAAATGAATAACTCAATTTTACAAAGAAAATATACTTAGTAATTGTTATTTATGTTCTCTTAACAGGTGTTTCAAAGGCACGCTAAAGCTCCATCTAGGCTTGGAGCACCTGGTTAAGGAGGAATAAAAAGATGGTTAACTCTACATCCAAGTCAAGGCACGCCTAGATGAAAAAAAGTACTTTTTTTGTGGTTAGTGTTTCCTTTTTTAGGTGAAGTCCTACAAATAATCTCACCATTGTTACAACTTAAAAAAGAAATAAGCTAAGGAAAAATTCAAACTTCCCCCAACGAACATTTCTAGACTCCAACTTACCTAATCAAACCATTTGCGATTTTAACAAAAATCAAAGAATTCAACCTTGTCTGTTTAGTTTCTTGGCCCATATTATGTTCCTAATTTTCAGGTAGCAGCATTTCTGTCACGGTCGCACAGTCGGTGCAGAAGTAAAAAATTCAAGTGAACTATGCTTGTATCTAATTTAGTGACTGTTTGGCAATCATTAATTTATTTTATGGTCATTTTCAATCACACATTCACATAATAAAATATTTTACAAGTATACAAAAAAACTTTTTCTATTTTTAAACCATATATTAAAAATTATTATTCAAAACTATCTTTTTTTCCCTACAGTAATGGTTGTCGAAGAGGCTCTTAATTATGAAAATTAACTACTAATTAATTGTAGTATTGGTGCTTTTGAAAATTATACGTTTTTGTTGGAAACTTGAAAAGTATATAGTTCTATAACTTTCAAGATATGCATTACTATTTATTAGTCTCCAACAATTAAAACAATATTTAAAATAGAACAACATTTATTACGTCAAGGCTTCGCATGGACACACCTAGCTTCTTAAGATTTAAAACTTGGCCTCCACGTTTTATCACATCCATAATGACCTTAATTATGTTAAGGCTTCATCTGGACACATCTTATAAATCTTGAAGCTTGACATCTATGCTTTGTCACGCCTTTAACCTCGTAGAACGTTTGTCTTAATACCTACCAAAGTGTAATGTGAAGGTACTACAAGTGAGAAAAGAAAGATCTTTATGAGAATTAATTTAATCATACAATGAAAAAAAGGGAAACTACAAAAAATGAGTGTGTGTGTGTGTGAGAGAGAGAGAGAGAGAGAAAGGGAGAACTTATTATAAAGAATTTACAACTAAATCTAATATTGTCTTAGAATAAATATTTCTTTCCATGATCAACTAATCTATTTTTATCAGAATCTCCTAAAATTTTGGTTTTTAACTAAATCAAACCGAGGTTTAATTTAGTCTTATGTATGTTATGGTTAGATAATTTAAGCACTATGACTCTGTCCTATTTAGGTGCATAGCTTAATTTATAAGATCATTTACAAATAGATTATTTTACTACACTTTTTACGAACTTCAGTATCGATAAAGTGTTTTACAAGAATTCAATTTTCAACATCAAGTAGAAGCAAGCTTGTTAAAATTGCAATCTAAGTTGTACAATCTTATGGTTCCTAAATGGTAAATCGATTGAGGATCACTTAGAAAATTGCATAATGTTTAAACCTTGTATTTATATCTCGAGTACTTATTAATATAAATACTAAAATTAGTCTTTACAATCATTTTCTTGATACATGAATCTTAAGCACTTAATATTTCAAAATTACCTCTTAATTTCTTATTAAATCATACTGCCAATGTCCCAAAGAAGACCTCTCCGTTTTCCATCAAGTGTAAATTCGCGGCGTTTCAAATTGAAATCGTTGGTAGGGTGCCTAAAAATGAAATGTCGATGAACTTAATTTCACCCAAAAAAAAAAAATTATGGAGTTAAAAGAGCAAATAAGTTGAACTCCGCAGCTACAATTGATCCTAAAATATATTGAGGCGTTATTTGTCATGCCACTGGATTCTTGTGTATCATTCAACTATTCTTGTAAAGGAGAGTGTTTTTGGTATATAATTTAAATGCACAATGTCAATTAAATTAGTAATGTGGGGATAAAAAGTCTGAATTATCATATCCTTGGAAGCTATTTTATCTAAATGTCAATTTAAATAACATTACCCCTTATTTCCTGAAATTTTGATTAAAATTAATATTAACTAAGAAAACAATCGGGAGAAGGGATTTTTTATTTTTTTTTGGGAGGTTGGGGGTGGGGATTGTGGGTAACTTTTATCAAACAATCAAATATGGAGTTAAAGCATTGTGACTCACGATTTCATTTTAGTTATCACCATAATGGCATGTCTTCTAAATTTGTACTTAATCGAATTCACTTATTAAAGCAATTTACCCTCTCTCAAATTTGAATCAATCTAATTTAATTAAGTCAACTAACTATGTCACTAGGTAAATATGAATAAACTATTAAACTTTGACTATATGCATTCAATCACCTAGGAATTAAATTAAGGACCACCAACAATTGTAAAAGTACTTTGACGTTTTATCATATTCTCGATTTTATTATAAGATCTAAATTTAGAATAGAACTCACATCTCGATTTATTATGACTCACAATTCATGAATTAGTGATCCAATAGTCTTATACCAAAAATTTGACTTCTTCACTCCAAAGTCTTGAAACCCTCTCCTTTAATTCTTTCTTCTACTCTTTATAGTGCCTAATTTGCATTGAACATTGTGTGCACAATAGGACCAAAATAATCCAACTAAAACAACAACTGAGAAATATGATGTTTCTGTCGGACTATAGGTGTATCGCGATCTGCATACCTCGTCAACCACCATTATAAATCAACTCATTAGTGATCGTTGGTTGATCAAGGTTTGCAAATCACGGTCTCCAATCCTCCATTTTTCCTCCTTTTGCATTTGGACCCCTACCTTTTTGTTCTTTGTAGGTTTTTTAACCTTACAGTCCCAGTTTTCGACATTGATCTCGCAATTCTCCAAAAGCTTTCACTTTGGTCTCTTGACTCTCCATAGTCACCTAATTGGGCCTCTTCCAAATTTTAGAAATGTACATACCAGTCTCCAAATTTTTCATAAGTTGAGTTCACTCTTATAATTTGTGATTTTCATCAATTGATCGTTTAATGCTTTTTATAAATTCAGTGCCATCAATGTAGTCTTCAATTATTTCAAACCAACTCCATTTATATTCAAAATCTTTATTTTTTTCTCCACATATCTTGAATCTTGATTTTAATTATGATGTTTACGTTAAATTAAGTAAATATCTATTCAATTTGCAAATACATATCCAGTTTATAAGTTAGGACAAGCATGTAAAACATTCTTATAAAAAACCTCCAAGCTAATTATTGCTCGTTCTGAGCAAGATTATCTACTCAAACACATAAATAATAAAATAAAAATAAATTCATTAGATATCTTGTCATATTTGCCTCAATTTTTGAAACTACTCAAAAAATTCATAAAAGGCTTCTAAAACGCGTCACCAAATCCAATTTTTTGCTTATTCAATGCTTGACACATGTATGTTTATAGTCAATCCAATCATCATAAGCCTTTAGGTTGGTTATATCTTGGTCCTCAATGGTTAATTATATTTCTTTTCTCTCTATATGTCATTCAAAATTTAGTATAATCCACTTGACTCTAAATCGTCCACAGTTAGAGGTCCAATTTCGTACCCAAATGTCATAGAATGAACACTCATGCCTTGATCGTTGAGGCTTGCCTGAAAACGAAGGTGTAAGACTTTAACACTTTACCCAAAAAACATGATTAAAAAGCCTTGAACATGTACGAGACTCATCTTAGTGCAAATTCTGACGAATCAACCTTAATGTTTGTGACTATGTCTTCACGTTAAAACAAAATGTTCCTCGACAAATTTCATGAAAACACAAATATCAATAAACTTTGAAAATGAGAACTTAATCATGATTTTCAACAAAATAATGCAAAAGTCAAATCAAGAAATGACTAAAATGCCCTTATTAACCTCCTATAAATAGGTCATTGCACAATTAAGAGCGAGGATTCGAATATAGGCAATTTGATAAGAAAAATTGTAGTGACTATACAATTGACCTTAAGGAATACTAGCTATTTTTTAGGTCAAAATTTTGACGCCGTATGTGGGAATCCGACCAAAATCAAGAGAGGGAAACATACGCGGGTAAAAAAGAAAAGGCAAAAAAGAGTGGAAAAAACTAGAAAAATAATAAAAGAATATCAAATAGTGATGAAAATTCTAGTAGTAGAAATGAAAGTCCTCCTGTTACAATGGAAGCAAATACTCCAAGAAATAGAACTAGTGGTCAAAAACAACAATGTTAAGGTTAGCTCTAGCAGTAGCTGATATAGCCTCTACCATGCAACATTTTGCTGACAAGAATGCCATCATGAGGTTAGGGCTGTACAAAAAATTGCAGAATCACAAATCGAATCGAACCTGTTGCTTTGAAATCTTTGGTTCAAGTTCTTGTGGATCCTTGATTTTTTCCCTCAAACTAAATCAAATTATTTTAAAATTGTTTGATTTATGGTTTAATTTTCAAAAATCACACAAAATCGAATTGAACCTTTTTTTTTAATTAAAAATTAATAGATTAAATTATAAATTTTACAAATTTTACTTTTTAGTAAAAAAAATAATAATACAAATTTAGCAATGCAAATTATATCAGCCCATTTAAATAATCATATAAAGTAAATTATGTTCATCATTACCGATCCATGGTTTTACAAGTTAACTACACACATCATGATCCAATATCTAAACTAAACTTAATTATCCCCAAATTATATGAAATGAAAAAAAAAATATTTTCGACAATCCAAATAATAATTCAACAAAACTATGACAGCAAATCACTCCCAAAACTCTAGAAACCCTAACCTAAACTCTCATTTCTCAAACATTTGACGCTTGCACATCACTGTTGAACAAAATGCAATTCCCTATCGCCCATGCAACGAAGCAAATATTGAATCTTAAGCGTTGTTGTGTTTGGATGTCACAAATAGATGGAATTCTAAAAAACATTTGATGTTTTGGAAAGTGATGGAAACTATACAAACTATTTTAATGAAGACAAATCTGATGGAATAAATATAAATGGACCACTAGCACGTATCGAATGGGATTAAGCTGAAGTATTTGTTAGGTTCTTGAGTACTTTTCTAAGAAATAAATTTGAAATGTAGTGGTTCAAAGTATGTAAATTCTAGCTCTTTCTTTAAAGAAATAAGTGAAATTCATGAAAAGTATAATTAATTAGCTAAAGAGCTTAGACTTTGATGGGATCCATGGCAATTAGTATGTGTAAAACAAATGATAAGTATTGGGGTAATGCTGAAAAGTTCAATAACTCTCGACCTTAAATGCAAGTTGGAACTTCTTAAAGTCGAGTTTGAACTTATTCACGATGTAGAAATTGCAAAAAATATTGTTAAAAAGAGTTAAATAGACACTTCACAATTTTTGTGTACATGTTATAAAGAAATGGTTACTCTAGTCACTCCAGTCACTCCACCATTAGCTTCATAGAAGGGGACTACAAAAAGTAGCAGCCCAAGTCCTGCACAACCTGTTTTAGGTCTTTCTAAATCCATTCCTCTCATTTTTAAAGCTAGATTTATGCAAAACATGTAATTCGAGAATAATGATTTGGTTGATTATTTGTCTGACTGTTGTGAAGATTTGACCGATTCTAATTTTGACATATGACTTCGGTGTAAATTGAATGCACATGGTGCAAAATTGCCTCCCAAATTGTCAAAGATGCATTATCAATTTAAATATCCACGATCGGTTTGGAGTCGACATTTTTCTAATTATCAATTTTGATATTTATGTGCACATTGTTTTTTAATTGCTTTTCAATATCATTAATAAAGACTAATGGATATTTTTTATATTTGCATTACACAAAGGCTAAATCATGTATTACAACAGGGAATAATAATCTAAATATAGCCAAATGAGAGGTTATAACACAATTTTTATGAAGCTTGAAGAGGTGATGCTGCTTCTATACTGTTGCTTGTAAAAGTTTGAGTAGAGAAAGTTATTCATTGTTGCTAGATGCTACATTTGCTACTACTTTTTTGCCTCTTTTTTATATTTCGAATTTCAGACAAATATGAATGTAATTTAATATTTTACGTTATTAGTTCTTATTTAAGCTTAGATGTTAACTTGTTTTAAATATATTAGTATGATGTTGATAAGTAAATTGTGGATTAAAATTGAACCAAACCGTAAATAATTATTTAGTTTGGTTTAACTTGAAAAATAAAATGGTTTAATTTGGTTTGAAAAAATTTCAAACCACGTGAAATAGTTTGAGTTGAAAGTACAAATCTAAATCGAACAGCGTCCACCCTTACATGAGGCAGTTCTTAATGCAGCAAGGAAGTGCAATTTCACCTTTCAAGAGGGTGGAAGTGAGGAGAGTTGAGGGATCACGGCAAGCACCTTATCATGAGCGAGAGTGGAGACCTTCTAGGTCCATTAGCATTTTCAGTAGGTCGAAGCACTGAGGCCGCTTGAGACAAAGCCCTGTGAGGATCTGGAAAGAAACCTGGACGGGAAGAAGCTAGGTCCATCAAAGAAGAAGACCAGACTTCTCCATTTATTCCCATAGAAGGAATGAGGAACACGTAGATTTGTCCAAGAGAAAATGAATGACGAGAACGAATATGCCCCTTTTTTCCGAAGCAATCTAGAGACTTAGATAATGTATTTAAGCGTTAGAGAAAGGTGCAAGCTAAAGGAGAAATAAAAGAAAAGACCAAACTCTAGGATCAATTATTTTTATACCGAGCACAAGTGGATAAAATATTCATTAACCAGAACCAAAGTCATCGTATGATAAAAGATTTTTTCCTTTTTTCCCTTCCTCTGATCTTCACACTACGTCAAATTATCAAGTCTTCGTTTGAGCAACATTATTTGAAAAAAATATATTTTTAAACAATAATTTGATATCATTTCAACAACACATTCTTTAATAAAATAATAATACACGCAAATTCAAAACTTTTTCGTATTTTTTAACCACATATTTCCTATCAATAAACTATTCAAAAGTACATTTTTATGAAAATAATGTGGCTCAAACAAGGGCTCACTATCAAGTTTACAAATCAGTACAAATATTAAGCTCCGGCTTGACCCCATTAAATTAACACTCATTTTTCTCTCTCTTTTTATCAACCATACATTCTCTAATAAAATAATATTACACGTAAATTTAAAAATTTTTCCTTCCTCGCATTATTCAAAAAATTACAATTCCTATCATTATAATTCGAAATAATTGAGCACAAACAGGGGCCAAAGTCAAAATAGCATCATAATTTCTATAACTAACGAAAGTGAAAAACTAAATTCATAATTATCAGACATTCGGGCCTAGAAACAGTTGCAACAGATATAAACATAAAAGTATCCTACTCAGCAGAGATTTACACATAAAATTGGACCAAACAATAAAAATAACACATCGATCAACAAATCAAAAATGGTTAAGTATGAGGAAAGTACGATAACTTGTTGGGTAGAAAATGCGTGGGTCGAGTTTGGCTGACAAATAATGGAATTGGAAAAATACAGTTAAAAATAGACACAAGTATTTACGTGGTTCACCCAATTTAGACTACGTCCACGAGCAAGTATAGGAGGATTTCACTATAGTAGGAGAATTACAACAAACTCTCTAAATACAAGGAAATAACAACAATTTATCTCTCTTGTAATAGAAGAAAACAAGTAGGAAAAAAACTTAAAAGGAAAACAATAAAATTCTCTCTACTCTCTTTTCTACCTTACAATTTTCTCTCTTAAATTTTCCTCTTCATATGACACACACTTTTCTCTCAAACTCTTGTCCATATTTATAGAGATTTTTAACCTTCATAATTGCTTGGAAGAGTCAAATTTCTACCACCTTCATTTGCTAGAATTCTCTACACATTTGACTTGTCAAGTAAATGGAGAAAGAAAACTTGAATTTCTCAACCTCCCTTGTATGCATGCATTTAATCTTTCTTATCAATTAAGAAATCAACAACTTTATCCATTTGGTCAAAAAAAATGTGGCTATCATTAGTTGGAAACTCCAATTTTGCCACCACCACCACTTGCCTGCGTGTATGTATTTTTCTTACTTGTTAAGTAATGTTTTATGGTCTAAAAATGTAACTGAACTTGCTCCGCGTAACTGCTTTACATAAGCCTTTTGACGTTGATAAGCGAATTAATAGTGCAAGTTCAACATTTTTAATGTTACCTAAATTATAATAAAATGCTATTAATTGAAGGATGAATTCAGAATTATAAAATATAAGGGCAATTTCGCCCAAAAATATTTCTGCCACGTTGAGACTTTTATATATAACTATAGATATAGATATAGATCTATAAATATGTATCAAACGTGGTTTAGACATCAGTTAGGGGTAAAAATGGCCATAAATCACAAAATTAATATAGTTGAGCGCAGGCATTCCACCACTATAAATGTTATTAGTAATCACCCTTGTATAGAAAAGAAGGAAGACATGACACATCCAGTATTCTTCTAAATTCTCTCTAAAAGAGGCCATTCCATTCAAGTCCCGCTAGGCTATGTCATTCCCTCATCTTTAATGATATGGCCAGAGACGATGTACATCCGAGGTGGAGTAAAGGCCATCAATATGGGGCCTCAATGTTGAAGAGTTTCCAGTGCTGTCTCTGGAGCCCTCTCCCGTCCAGTCCTTTCTGCAAGCGATAAATACAAGAAGCTAAGCACAACTTGCTATTGAAGATAGTAACCAAATGCACAAACAACCGAAAGTAAAAGAAGCCGCCCAAGCCTAGCTCAAGTGGCAATAGAGATGCCTTCCTATGCCAATGTGCTACTGGCTCGAGCCTCCCTTGGAAGAGGGGTGCAATTTAAATCATTTTATCTCCTTAAAAAATAAGGAGGAAAAGTGGAGCTGGAATGCAGCAACTCAAAAAATGTCAAAACACTGTTACCTCTGATTCTTAAACAATATGACCAAAAGGTTGTAATTTCAGTGCTACAAAGTAAATGTCATCTTTTCCAGTTTGGATCATGTTTCAAAATGAATGTCCATCCTCTCAAATCAAAAAATTTCACCCCTTTCTTTCCCAGAACACCCCTTAGTAGCATACACTAGAACTTGATCGTACTGCACTTCAGAAACTATCTGGATGATACTCATTTTCACCCCTCTTATTTTATTTTTCCCCTATCATTCTCTCACAGCTTTTCATCTCTGTGAAAGCCCCAACAGCAAACCCAGTGAAACTAACAAGCAAAACTCGTCATAATTCGTCCATCATTTATCCCTTTTCCCTATTCTTGGTTTTTTTGCTTTATCTTATATGTGATTGTTTATATTGTATTTTTGTCCCCAACTTGTACAGAAACGGTAGAAAAGGCCAAAGTTTATATAGAAACGTATCACTAACAATATTTTTTTCAATTAATTGATAAGCAGATATATCCAGATATCAAACAAGGAATTTTGCTTGTAATTTGTGAAATTTCTCTAAGTATACTTGATTAGGAAAAAGATATCCAATACATAATACTATAAGTCATGAATAAAAATAACTAGAAGCTAGAGCCTAGAAAACAAACAAAAGCGTAAATAGACAGCAGTAAGGCAACTAATTAAAAGTTTCAAGGACCCAAGTGAGGTGTTATAGGTAATAAGCCAAATTCCAAGACTGTTATAGTTGGTGCAAGAAATGTAGGCAGTGAAAGAGAGAGAGGCACAAGAGCCTAAGTTCTAAAATGGCATTTGTCAACAAGGTAAGAGAGAATTATTCCTGTTATTGGGGGCAGAAGTGAGAATGTAAGATATAGGCCAAATGTTTACATCTCTTTGCACAAGGTAGCAGTCATCTATTCCTAATACCACAGTATATAAGAAAAATTTACACAATTCCCAGAGGAAAATTTGTAAAGGAGAAAATTTTGGTGACCTAAATGGGTAATAGTCTAGGCAATTCCATAGTTCTCGGAAAGTAAACCAGCATTTGATGCTCAGCTATTATGTGAAAGAAGCTTGTCAAACACTTGAAAGAATGGCATTGAGATGTTTTATGCTGTGGCGATTTTGAAGAGAATAGAAGCACGGTTTAGGCCATGTTTGAGCCACATTTTTTCAAAAAAATACATTCTTAAACAGTGATTTGAGATTATTTCAACCACACATTCTTCAATAAAATAATATTACACGTAAATCCAAAACTTTTCTTTATTTTTTAATTACACATTTCCCATCAATACACTATTCAAAAATACATTCTAAGGAAAATAATGTGGCTCAAACAAGAGCTTAATTTTAAAACAAAATAAAAAACATATATCATTTGCAGAGGAGAAAATTTAGGAAAATTAAACATCATTTGAGGACCAGCTATTATATCGATGATGATTGTCAAAGACTCACAAGAATTGCCAAGAGATGTCCTGTGGTGTCTCAAATTTGAGTAAAATAGAAGCTCAACTCATGATTGAAAAAGTAGATAAATAACAACACATGAGAACAAGCCATTCACTCAATCCTTGTTTCTCTTCAATGCTGCAAAGAACATGTAACCAGCTTTTGAGGTATTGCAGTTAGAAATTTTCAGAAGAGAAAGAAGAAAAGCAAATAATCACACCAGTTCCTATTCCTGTCCATATTTCTTTATAGAATAAGGTCAATCGTTATCCAGATATAAAATTTCTTCATGATATAAAGGTATTTCTCCAAATAAGGCAATCATCATATTTGTGCAGGTCAGTAAATCACAATAAAGTATTCACCATTTTTTTACAATAATTACCTAAGCAATGGGGTTTTATCTGGTCCACTACTTATTTATTAAAAGAAACAAGACATGCAGAGGATTAAGGTTATGAATGCATTTTTATTAAGTAAGTAAAAGGAGCTAAAGTGGAATTCAACAACATATGGATATGATAAGAAGTTAGCATTATGCCAACCTCTAAGGGATAACTATATATTACAGCTTAAATATTTGCATAGACGTGCTTTTAGGTGACATTTGGCACACATAAGCTTGCACAAGAAATTATGCATAAAAGTAGACAAGATAATACTAGGTATATAAGATTAGGACAAATAAAAGTAGGTAATATTTATAAGCTTTTCATTCAAAAGAATATTATTTGCATTATCTTTGTTATCCAGCTTAAACCGCCTCCTCACTCCGTATTATGTTATCCGGTTAGCTTAAGATGTCCATATGTTGTTGTGGAATTCAACAACATATGGATATGATAAGAAGTTAGCATTATGCCAACCTCTAAGGGATAACTATATATTACAGCTTAAATATTTGCATAGACGTGCTTTTAGGTGACATTTGGCACACATAAGCTTGCACAAGAAATTATGCATAAAAGTAGACAAGATAATACTAGGTATATAAGATTAGGACAAATAAAAGTAGGTAATATTTATAAGCTTTTCATTCAAAAGAATATTATTTGCATTATCTTTGTTATCCAGCTTAAACCGCCTCCTCACTCCGTATTATGTTATCCGGTTAGCTTAAGATAGATAGTGCAAATACTATTCTTTTGAATAAAAATGAGTACATAATATCCAACTTCCTCCACCCCAATACAATCCGCATACACTGTAATATACTTAATTCCTTATACTGCGGTCTAATTACCAAACTCAACCTTAAAGCACGCTATCAGATAGCTAAACCAACAAGGAATAGGCAATGAGGCAACCATTACAACACGAATCAAAAAATATGCAAAAGAAACAACAACAAAAGCTACGAAACAGAGAGATTTTAAGGGTTGGAGAGCTTACTTGGTCCAAGAATTAGCTGTAGATAAGTCAAATTGTTGGTTAGCAGAACAATCTCCGGTACTCCCATAAATCATACCATTCTGATCAGCTTTCTCCCTAGGATTCAACAAAATTTGGTTCTCACGACCTGAAGTAGGGCAATATAAAGTTTCTGGCAACCATGGACCATCAACAATGCTAGGCACAGAACTATCAAATGTCCCAGCATTCTCAAAATTGCCAAGAAAAACATTTTGAGAAGATTGAGTGCCAGCATGGATTTGCTCATCATTCTTAAACAGCGAGGCCATTGTTTTCTGAGGTACCAGATGCATAATATCTTCCTTTGGTCTGCTCAGTTCTGGGGGCAAAAGCCAGCTGACAGATCCACCTGCCAAACCTAGACCAGCCTGACCTAGAGGAGAACTATTCCACATCTGCCATGTTCCACTGTCATTTGCATCATTGGATTTATCCTGGGCTTTAGGAGCACTAGGGGAAAAGAAAGATATACCATGCCTTTCCTCTGAAGCTCGTGATCGTGACAAGGGGGACTGAATTGGTGATGGCTTAGTGAGTTCGGATGGTGCAGGTGTAGTCTTCAAAGCACATGGTTCTTCCAATACCGTATCTGCTACAAAACCGAGGTCCAAATCAAAGTTATCAAGTGATTCAGAGACTGGCCCAAGCAAAGAGATAGGGTCTGGAACATAACAAGGATCTTCAAAAATCTCTGACTCCTCTGGTAAAAGTTGATCTGGCACTTCTCCAATCCTAGGAAATATAGCTTCAGATGACATTGGAAGAGATCTACTGCTTTTTGTTAATCCAGTCGGAGGAGAGGGTAAAGTAGATGGTGGCAGCTGTCCAAAGTTAATCGGTGAATCAAGTAGTTGTGGTGGGCTCCGAACTTCTGGTTGGGACTTCACGTTTGGCCTACCAATAACATTAGGTTTAGAGGGAACAGAAACAGCAGAAGGGGTGAATAATTGTTGCCATGATTTTTTCGGGGCTGGACATGGTTGAGGTTCAGTGACGACCTGCAGGAAAATATCAAAGCATAAATATGTGTCTGAAAATATAAATAATCCACGACGAAGGCCATGTGACTAGAGACTACAATAACCTGATGTCTGGGATGAGCATGGAAGTTCAGAACATAGGGACGACTCATTCAAAATTTTACGTTGGGAAAAATAAGATTGCGACACATGCCAAGATATCAATCACTTAAAAGGACATCTCATTTGTCGCAACCAGAGAAAGTAACATTAAGTGCATTACCAACATCAGGTCACAATATCCATAATGACCAAGTATAAAGAACTGCTCTATAATTGTCCAAACAAAACCAATTAAAAACTATTTCTGAAGGGTTATTGTTGTTGATTTTATATCTTACCAATGTATCAATCGTAACAAGTAACAGAGTAGACCTCAAAGTCCAAATTATCATTTTCACGAAGAGTATTATCTAACAGTTGAGAACTAATAGCAGTTGAGAACTAATAGGAGTTATTTTATTTTTGTCATTTTTCATTTTAAATATACTAAAACAATAAAAGTGATATTTTTATATGATGATTCTGTTATGATTTATGAGTTCACCATAACTATCAATCTTAATCACCAATTTTTAGAATAATTAATTATGGTTACCATGTTGAACACTTCTAATCTAATTGATTTACATCTAGTTCATAGCAATCATACTTAACAAAGTCAACCCACAATATCCCTGTGAACTTGAAAAAGGCTTAATCAAGAGCATTTAATCAACAAAGAATTCGTTCAAGACCGCGAAAACTATAATGAGTATTTTACCTCTTTATCCAAATTGCATATTTTTACCATATGGTCTAAATAAATAACCTCGACATAATTATTGCTTATAGATCAATGAATTAGTGGTCAATTAATCCAAATAATTAAAATAGAAGTAAAAACAATTCACAACATTAAATTGAGATTTAAAATTTTTGAATTAAAATTAAGGTTCAAAATTAGGTTACAAAGGTTCATCCTAACGAATTACTTAATTACACATCATGGAAAAAAAATACAAGAAGGAATTAAAGTACATCATTAGGTTTAAAAAAAATGGAAATAAGATAAAAATTTTACGCTAAGAACCCGCCTTCTTTTTTGTAAATATCTTGGAACTCTAGCTTTTTAATTGATTTTTCTCTCTTTTTAGGGCACTCGTTTCTTATAATTGATATGAAATTTGTGTCCCAAGAGACCCCTTTGGCTTATATAATATGGGTATATGAATCTCACAAGCTTTGGTTTGAACATAGGTGTATAATGAAACCCTACAAGCCTTTTCCAATTGTTGGACTAAGGTATTTAACTATAGAACAGATTTAGATTAGAATAATTGTTCAAATTGGTTTCCACAAAGATTTTTAGTAGAAAAAGGAAACAATCCCCTTTCTATTGTGACCCTTTTTCTCATATAATTTTAGTCCTTCATCTTCTAGTCTTTGTAATTAAGTCATCTTCATCTCAAAATCATTTACATTTGACTCGATGTATGTTTTGAAACTTTACAATTCAGTCCCCAAACTTTCTAAATATCGAATTTAACTTCAAAAATCTATAAATTTTTACTGAGTGTTCCATTAATACTTCCAGTTGATTCACAACATTTCGGTAGATATTTAATTACTTCGAATGAACTCCCGTTAAGCTCCAAAACCAAAGGTAATTACACATCGACCCAAGCATTGTGACTATCCAAAAGCAGATCTCCTAGCTCAGTGCTACTCAACTTGTGGGATCTAACATACCTTGCAGTTACCTCACAAAAAAACTTGATAGCCGAACCACTCCAAGGCGAATAGTGCCCCCAGCAAGCAGGGGCGGACCCAAACCCTTTCGATTAGGGGGTTACAATCATCAACGGTGAAAAGTGTAAATGGTAATGGTAGTCCGTAGTCGACAGATTGGGGGGGAAGAGAGAGAGAGAGAGACAAAGGCACAAAGTTGAGTTTGGAGCTACCAGTTGCATAATATATTTATAGTGTAGGCTTTAAACTTTGACATTCTAAAAAAAAGTAGCAAAAAAAGGCAAAAACTGGGGGATCAATTGACTCTACAGGACCCCCGGGTTTGCCCTAGCCAGCAAGTGAGGATCCGTTCTAGCAATTTTGGCTATCGGTGTGATAGGTTTGCCTAGTATGGTAAATCGCTATCATAAAACACTATACCATCATGGCTCTTGATTATAGTCATTTTTCACACCAATTATATTTAAGTTGGTATTTTTCTTGCAATTGACATAAGTTGTACAAATTAAGTAGATGTTGCCTAATTTACATATAATTGAAGATGAACAGAAGCTCATATAAGTACATAACTATTATTTCCAATAAAGTAGGCTCCATGCATTGGCAATGAATCTGATAACCATTTTGACCCAGATATGAAATTTACTGACTGTTGTTTTAGAAATTGGCTGAAAACTTTGGCTTTGGTTTGAAGACACTATTCTACTACCCTCTTGTGTATGTATTGAGAATTCTGAATTTTCAATTCTACTTTCCATATCCTTGTCACTTGATAAAAATATTGTCATGGTTCCATTGCCAAATATGGGACTTAAATCCTATATTGAAAGTCAGTGTGTCGTTTATATAGACTTGAATTTTCCAATTTTAATAGCTACTTTTAAGATATGACTCTTCCAAGATCTATATTAATTATTCAAAGTAGGCACTACGTCTCTTGAATGCAATGAAGCGGTGTAGATCGTAACGCCGGTATAGCAGTGTTCGTTAAGGATTAATCATGGAGTAGTGCAAAGCCAGTCCAACATGAGCGCCTTGATCATGGACTCTGGTGGATTGTCATGGTTATCATTGCAAAGTATGGGACTTGATTACTACATGAAAGCATGGGCTTTCAATGTGTAATTTATATAGACCTGGGCTCTCCAACTACAACAGTTACTTTTTAAGGTATACCTCTATCAAAACCTATATCAATATTGTCAGAGTTCCCATAGCAAAGTATGAGACTTAAATCCCACATTGAAAGTATGGGCTTTCGATGTGTGGTTGATATAGACTTTGCTTCTCCAACTTCAATAGCTAATTTTTGAGGTATGGCACTCCCAAAATTTATATCAATGGTATTAAAGCAAGCATCATGTCTCCCAATTGCAATCAAACAGCATGAATGATGATGTTGGCATAGCAATGTTCGTGCAAGGGTAGTCATGTGCTCCAATCTAACGTGGGCACTGAGATTGCGGAGCATAATGGATAGTCATGGTTCTTATCACAATGAATCTTGAATTCCATATCGAAAGTATGAGCTTTCAGTGTGTGATTCATACAAACTTGGGCTCTCCAATTTCAATAACTAGTTTCTAAGGTGTGGATCTCCCAAAATTTATATTATATATCAATTTAGCATCTAACTTTGCATCTAATATTTTACCGAGCTCGTTTATGTTGCATTGGAATTCTTCTTGACAACAAGTAGTTCTTTTTGACAATTAGATATAATTTCCAACAATTTCTTGAAACGTTCCACAAGTTGACAAATTAGTTAGTTCATTTTGGGCTCTGACGCCAATTAATATGAATGTAAATGGTACATATTGAAATAAAGAGATATATAATTATAGTAGGCTCGATAGAGTAAGCCTTGACCTCCAAATTGAGATTTCAAAGAAGTCAAACCTCCAAAAGCATGAAATGCAAATTTACTTCTTCACTCAGTTTCATTATTTTGCACTCTTTAAATTGAGTCAGTAAAGATAATCCCATCAATTCTTAAAAAATATACATAATCCCACTAATACTTAGCCCTCTTTGGTTTAGATAAACATCATCAAACTTTTAGCAGATTTTGATCAAATTTAATGAAATATATAGTTGAAAAATTGATAAAAGTTGAAAGTTGAATATATTGTGTATTTGAAAATGAATTTGAAAAAAGAAAATGGATTTTAGAAAATGGAAGCCAAAAGGAGACTTAATATGCTCCCATAAGTCCTATATGTAGTTTGAGTTTTAGAAAATGGTGTTGCCGGGGTGATTCTCTGCAGCGATGAGGTAACTGGCAATGAAATCATCAAAGATCCTCATGTTCTTCTAGCCACTCAGATCAATTATACTGATGGTGTTACTCTCTTTTCCATGTCAACACAAGCAAGCAAGAGTTGATGGTATAATGAAGATGAGTTTAGCTATTTTCATCTTATTAAATCTAATGCAATCTAATATTTCCTTCCAAATAAGTTAATAAATGTACTTCTATTTGAGAGACGAACCCTGTTCTCATGTGATCATACACTTATATCTTACTGATAATTGCAGGAATCCATTGGGATTGCTTACACCGCCTAAGGCAGCAGTGAACATAAAGTCTGTTCCATTTATGGCTACTTTTGTTAGGGAGAAAACGCGCGGGTCGACTTTGGCTAACAAGTAATGAAATTGAGAAAATACAGCTAAAATGGACACAAGTGTTTTACGTGGTTCACCCAATATAGGCTACGTCCACGGGCAAGTATGAGAGGATTCACTATAGTAGGAGAATTACAACAATCTCTCTAAATACAAGGAGATAACAACGAATAATCTCTCTTGTAATAGGAGAAAACAAGTAGAAAAAAAGAACTTAGGAGAAAAATAATAAATTTTCTCTCTTCTCTTCTCTTCACCTTACAATTTTTCTCTCTTAATTTTTCCTCTCCATATGACACACCCTTTTCTCTCAAACTCTTGCCCATATTTATAGAGAATTTTAACCTCCATAATTGCTTGGAAGAGTCAAATTTCTACCACCTTCATTTGCTAGAATTCTCTACACATTTGGCTTGTCAAGTAAATGGAGAAAGAAAACTTGAATTTCTCAACCTCCCTTGTATGCATGCATGTAATCTTTCTTATCAATTAAGAAATCAACAACTTTATCCATTTGGTCAAAAAAAATGTGGCTATCATTAGTTGGAAACTCCAATTTTGCCACCACCACCACTTGCCTGCGTGTATGTATTTTTCTTACTTGTTAAGTAATGTTTTATGGTCTAAAAATGTAACTGAACTTGCTCCGCGGTAACTGCTTTACATAAGCCTTTTGACGTTGATAAGCGAATTAATAGTGCAAGTTCAACATTTTTAATGTTACCTAAATTATAATAAAATGCTATTAATTGAAGGATGAATTCAGAATTATAAAATATAAGGGCAATTTCGCCCAAAAATATTTCTGCCACGTTGAGACTTTTATATATAACTATAGATATAGATATAGATATAGATATAGATCTATAAATATGTACCAAACGTGGTTTAGACATCAGTTAGGGGTAAAAATGGCCATAAATCACAAAATTAATATAGTGAGCGCAGGCATTCCACCACTATAAATGTTATTAGTAATCACCCTTGTATAGAAAAGAAGGAAGACATGACACATCCAGTATTCTTCTAAATTCTCTCTAAAAGAGGCCATTCCATTCAAGTCCCGCTAGGCTATGTCATTCCCTCATCTTTAATGATATGGCCAGAGACGATGTACATCCGAGGTGGAGTAAAGGCCATCAATATGGGGCCTCAATGTTGAAGAGTTTCCAGTGCTGTCTCTGGAGCCCTCTCCCGTCCAGTCCTTTCTGCAAGCGATAAATACAAGAAGCTAAGCACAACTTGCTATTGAAGATAGTAACCAAATGCACAAACAACCGAAAGTAAAAGAAGCCGCCCAAGCCTAGCTCAAGTGGCAATAGAGATGCCTTCCTATGCCAATGTGCTACTGGCTCGAGCCTCCCTTGGAAGAGGGGTGCAATTTAAATCATTTTATCTCCTTAAAAAATAAGGAGGAAAAGTGGAGCTGGAATGCAGCAACTCAAAAAATGTCAAAACACTGTTACCTCTGATTCTTAAACAATATGACCAAAAGGTTGTAATTTCAGTGCTACAAAGTAAATGTCATCTTTTCCAGTTTGGATCATGTTTCAAAATGAATGTCCATCCTCTCAAATCAAAAAATTTCACCCCTTTCTTTCCCAGAACACCCCTTAGTAGCATACACTAGAACTTGATCGTACTGCACTTCAGAAACTATCTGGATGATACTCATTTTCACCCCTCTTATTTTATTTTTCCCCTATCATTCTCTCACAGCTTTTCATCTCTGTGAAAGCCCCAACAGCAAACCCAGTGAAACTAACAAGCAAAACTCGTCATAATTCGTCCATCATTTATCCCTTTTCCCTATTCTTGGTTTTTTTGCTTTATCTTATATGTGATTGTTTATATTGTATTTTTGTCCCCAACTTGTACAGAAACGGTAGAAAAGGCCAAAGTTTATATAGAAACGTATCACTAACAATATTTTTTTCAATTAATTGATAAGCAGATATATCCAGATATCAAACAAGGAATTTTGCTTGTAATTTGTGAAATTTCTCTAAGTATACTTGATTAGGAAAAAGATATCCAATACATAATACTATAAGTCATGAATAAAAATAACTAGAAGCTAGAGCCTAGAAAACAAACAAAAGCGTAAATAGACAGCAGTAAGGCAACTAATTAAAAGTTTCAAGGACCCAAGTGAGGTGTTATAGGTAATAAGCCAAATTCCAAGACTGTTATAGTTGGTGCAAGAAATGTAGGCAGTGAAAGAGAGAGAGGCACAAGAGCCTAAGTTCTAAAATGGCATTTGTCAACAAGGTAAGAGAGAATTATTCCTGTTATTGGGGGCAGAAGTGAGAATGTAAGATATAGGCCAAATGTTTACATCTCTTTGCACAAGGTAGCAGTCATCTATTCCTAATACCACAGTATATAAGAAAAATTTACACAATTCCCAGAGGAAAATTTGTAAAGGAGAAAATTTTGGTGACCTAAATGGGTAATAGTCTAGGCAATTCCATAGTTCTCGGAAAGTAAACCAGCATTTGATGCTCAGCTATTATGTGAAAGAAGCTTGTCAAACACTTGAAAGAATGGCATTGAGATGTTTTATGCTGTGGCGATTTTGAAGAGAATAGAAGCACGGTTTAGGCCATGTTTGAGCCACATTTTTTCAAAAAAATACATTCTTAAACAGTGATTTGAGATTATTTCAACCACACATTCTTCAATAAAATAATATTACACGTAAATCCAAAACTTTTCTTTATTTTTTAATTACACATTTCCCATCAATACACTATTCAAAAATACATTCTAAGGAAAATAATGTGGCTCAAACAAGAGCTTAATTTTAAAACAAAATAAAAAACATATATCATTTGCAGAGGAGAAAATTTAGGAAAATTAAACATCATTTGAGGACCAGCTATTATGTCGATGATGATTGTCAAAGACTCACAAGAATTGCCAAGAGATGTCCTGTGGTGTCTCAAATTTGAGTAAAATAGAAGCTCAACTCATGATTGAAAAAGTAGATAAATAACAACACATGAGAACAAGCCATTCACTCAATCCTTGTTTCTCTTCAATGCTGCAAAGAACATGTAACCAGCTTTTGAGGTATTGCAGTTAGAAATTTTCAGAAGAGAAAGAAGAAAAGCAAATAATCACACCAGTTCCTATTCCTGTCCATATTTCTTTATAGAATAAGGTCAATCGTTATCCAGATATAAAATTTCTTCATGATATAAAGGTATTTCTCCAAATAAGGCAATCATCATATTTGTGCAGGTCAGTAAATCACAATAAAGTATTCACCATTTTTTTACAATAATTACCTAAGCAATGGGGTTTTATCTGGTCCACTACTTATTTATTAAAAGAAACAAGACATGCAGAGGATTAAGGTTATGAATGCATTTTTATTAAGTAAGTAAAAGGAGCTAAAGTGGAATTCAACAACATATGGATATGATAAGAAGTTAGCATTATGCCAACCTCTAAGGGATAACTATATATTACAGCTTAAATATTTGCATAGACGTGCTTTTAGGTGACATTTGGCACACATAAGCTTGCACAAGAAATTATGCATAAAAGTAGACAAGATAATACTAGGTATATAAGATTAGGACAAATAAAAGTAGGTAATATTTATAAGCTTTTCATTCAAAAGAATATTATTTGCATTATCTTTGTTATCCAGCTTAAACCGCCTCCTCACTCCGTATTATGTTATCCGGTTAGCTAAAGATGTCCATATGTTGTTGTGGAATTCAACAACATATGGATATGATAAGAAGTTAGCATTATGCCAACCTCTAAGGGATAACTATATATTACAGCTTAAATATTTGCATAGACGTGCTTTTAGGTGACATTTGGCACACATAAGCTTGCACAAGAAATTATGCATAAAAGTAGACAAGATAATACGAGGTATATAAGATTAGGACAAATAAAAGTAGGAAATATTTATAAGCTTTTCATTCAAAAGAATATTATTTGCATTATCTTTGTTATCCAGCTTAAACCGCCTCCTCACTCCGTATTATGTTATCCGGTTAGCTTAAGATAGATAGTGCAAATACTATTCTTTTGAATAAAAATGAGTACATAATATCCAACTTCCTCCACCCCAATACAATCCGCATACACTGTAATATACTTAATTCCTTATACTGCGGTCTAATTACCAAACTCAACCTTAAAGCACGCTATCAGATAGCTAAACCAACAAGGAATAGGCAATGAGGCAACCATTACAACACGAATCAAAAAATATGCAAAAGAAACAACAACAAAAGCTACGAAACAGAGAGATTTTAAGGGTTGGAGAGCTTACTTGGTCCAAGAATTAGCTGTAGATAAGTCAAATTGTTGGTTAGCAGAACAATCTCCGGTACTCCCATAAATCATACCATTCTGATCAGCTTTCTCCCTAGGATTCAACAAAATTTGGTTCTCACGACCTGAAGTAGGGCAATATAAAGTTTCTGGCAACCATGGACCATCAACAATGCTAGGCACAGAACTATCAAATGTCCCAGCATTCTCAAAATTGCCAAGAAAAACATTTTGAGAAGATTGAGTGCCAGCATGGATTTGCTCATCATTCTTAAACAGCGAGGCCATTGTTTTCTGAGGTACCAGATGCATAATATCTTCCTTTGGTCTGCTCAGTTCTGGGGGCAAAAGCCAGCTGACAGATCCACCTGCCAAACCTAGACCAGCCTGACCTAGAGGAGAACTATTCCACATCTGCCATGTTCCACTGTCATTTGCATCATTGGATTTATCCTGGGCTTTAGGAGCACTAGGGGAAAAGAAAGATATACCATGCCTTTCCTCTGAAGCTCGTGATCGTGACAAGGGGGACTGAATTGGTGATGGCTTAGTGAGTTCGGATGGTGCAGGTGTAGTCTTCAAAGCACATGGTTCTTCCAATACCGTATCTGCTACAAAACCGAGGTCCAAATCAAAGTTATCAAGTGATTCAGAGACTGGCCCAAGCAAAGAGATAGGGTCTGGAACATAACAAGGATCTTCAAAAATCTCTGACTCCTCTGGTAAAAGTTGATCTGGCACTTCTCCAATCCTAGGAAATATAGCTTCAGATGACATTGGAAGAGATCTACTGCTTTTTGTTAATCCGGTCGGAGGAGAGGGTAAAGTAGATGGTGGCAGCTGTCCAAAGTTAATCGGTGAATCAAGTAGTTGTGGTGGGCTCCGAACTTCTGGTTGGGACTTCACGTTTGGCCTACCAATAACATTAGGTTTAGAGGGAACAGAAACAGCAGAAGGGGTGAATAATTGTTGCCATGATTTTTTCGGGGCTGGACATGGTTGAGGTTCAGTGACGACCTGCAGGAAAATATCAAAGCATAAATATGTGTCTGAAAATATAAATAATCCACGACGAAGGCCATGTGACTAGAGACTACAATAACCTGATGTCTGGGATGAGCATGGAAGTTCAGAACATAGGGACGACTCATTCAAAATTTTACGTTGGGAAAAATAAGATTGCGACACATGCCAAGATATCAATCACTTAAAAGGACATCTCATTTGTCGCAACCAGAGAAAGTAACATTAAGTGCATTACCAACATCAGGTCACAATATCCATAATGACCAAGTATAGAGAACTGGCCTCCTTAGGTATCTTCAGTAATTAATAAACACAATTAACAGCCAACCCAATCCCCAATTAAGATAGGCAAACGAAGATCAATTAAATACAAGAGATAACTTACAGGACGATAGACATTTTTATCATCTCCATTTACATTTGATCTCCCCGATACCCATTCAGGCTGCAATGCATTTCTCTTATATGCAGAACCTTGAACATAATCTACAGATGCATTAGGTCTGTGGTCGCTTGAAACAGTAGACATATTAGCACTTTTTCCTAAAAAACCACCTCCAGTAAACGCTCTAGAAGAAGATATAAAGGTGCCCTTCATACGATCTATGTATCTTGTTCCAGCAGTTCCTCGGTTATGACTGTTCATCATAGCACCCTTAAATCCATGACTCACTTCTGCACTATAAGATTTCACATTTTCAGTTACATTTCTGTGTTGTTCACATTTGTTACTGTCTATTTTCTTGTTTCGCATGCTTTCCTTGCCAAATCTCTTTTCCGATTCCTCGCCATCAGAGTTGCTTTTGCTTGATCCCCTATCTCTTTCTTTCTTTCTATCCTGATTCTTCTTTTCAGCTTCTTTTTTCCTATTTCTATCCTTATCAGGAGAGAGCTCTTTTCCACTTTCTTTTTTGTCCCCTGTCCTCTCATCCCGTAATCTCCTACGTTCTTCAACCAACCTTGCAACCTCTTCTCTCTGCTTTCTTTCCTCCTCCTCCAGCAGCTCCTTCTCTAATCTAGCCTGCCTCTTCTCCTCAGCTTTTCTGCGAGCTTTCTCTCCTCTACTCTCATGAAAATTCCCTCCATTCTCACCTTGCTTATCCAATAGCCGCGTTAACTCTGCATCAGTTGAAGTTTCATCTCTGGACGAACTAACCCTAAAAATCTTCCTCCAAAACCCAGCAATACTAAAAAAGAAAGCTCTAAATACCTTGAAAGTAAAAATACCTACGTGGGAATAAGACTTCTCCGCCAAACAATGATTTTCCCCTCCAACATACCCACCTCCACTCTTCTTCCAATAACTTGACTTCCCAGCAAAAGGTCCCCCGACCCAATTTCCATTCTCCAACCAGTCCTGCCCACATATCCACCCATTATCTGACCAAACCTTTCCATTGAACGTCGTCCCACCTTTACCAACTAAATACTTCAAAATACCTGAACTCCCCAAATCCAGAGACTCGGGCAAGTCGAGAACTGGCCTCTTGGAAATATGCCCACAATATGAGCACGTAAACTTGCCCCCACGGGGATTTTGATCCCGATATGGAGTTAAGCAATTCCTACACCTCCGGGTAGCAGTCTTCCTCAACTTTTGAATTTCAATAGCCTCAAATCTCTTCCTCTCCCTAAGCCTAGCATTCCTCCTGACCCGCCAGGCCGACAACCTAGGCATCAAAATCTCATACCAAAAAAGGGTTACTAACAGCACGAACACGCACGCCAGCCTTGGAGATGTGATTTCAAATCGGAAAGCAGGGGGCAATAGCTGCGATAGAGCCCAAAGCCCAATCAATGGAATCACTAACCATGGCAACATGGTAGCAATCCTTCTTGACCACTTCTGAATCACACACAGTATACACATTATCCTCCTTATGGCGCACCTCTCTCTCCCAGTCTTGAACGGGATAAATACCTTATCAATTAAACCCCAGAAAAAAAAAAATATAATCAAAAGAACTTCTCGAAACTCACAAACATATATGTATAATTATTCCTAAAAAGGAGAAGATTTTAAAAAATCGTATTCTCCAATACGCCCCTTGTCTCAATTTTTCCAATGCAATACCAAATCTCGCGTTTCGTCGAAACCCTAGAGGACCGATTCGTGAGAAAATACCTATTTAAGAAAATTATTAAATCGACAATTTCATATCAGGAACATATTGGTCAGACCGGGTCGGACCGGATAGATTAGATTGAACCGGTTGTTTGGCAAAAGATTGTGTGACCTGGTGTTTGGTTCCCGTTTTATTTTGTGGTGTAAAATTAGGGGTGTATGGATATGAATCTCATTTAGCTTCTCATTGATTAAGTTAAAATTTTATATCATCAACAGTATTGTTCCTTTGATAATAACTTGATTAAATGTTTTATGCATAATCTTCAACATTGCATCAAAATTTGAGATAAAATTTGTATCATTTTAAATTAAAACTTGCACCAAACTGAAAAATCATCTCCACCACATTACATCAAAACTTACACTGATTAACCAATTTTAAATTCATTTTTTCAATTCTTAACAATTTATTGATTTATTTATTTTGCAACTACATAAATTATTAAATAAATAATTACGTTAAATTAAAAAAAATATTGAGTTATTATCGATTACTAAATTATCACTTGTTTTATGTATTATGTTAAATTGACGAAAATAATTGATTATAGTATTAAAATTTATTATAAATAATTACTTTAAATTAACCAAAATAATTACTAAATTTTTATTCCTTAATTATTAATAAATTTATTATAAATGCACATATAATAATAATAATAATAATTAATAATATAATATAATAAAAATGACCTAAATATCCTTAACCAATATATTTGTAAAGTGAAAAGAGAGGAGGGCAAATTTGACTTTACACTATTTTGCATCAAAATAAAACAAGTTATGGTGCTATATTGGAGGCAATGACGTTTTGGGATCTCCGTTGGAGATGTCCTAAGCTTCCATTATAGACATATGTAACCAAGTGGTTTTCTAAAAACCAACTGAATGGAGGGTCCGTTTGGAATAATTCTTGTTAGTAGAGCTTTCAGCAATAAGGTTTTCTACTAAAAAAGGCGGTTGATTATTTGATCATCGCTTATATTTTTTTATTGAATATAATTTTTATTTTTTATTATTATTTTTTTGTTATGTATTGGGTATTTTGTTGATTTTAAAACTTTACTTAGAGAGCAATTGTTTCCCATTTTTGTAAAAATGAGAATAAAAAATATAGCCGCTATGGGTCCTACACAAGAGATATAAATTTAAATTTGATGACTTGATGTGATTGATAACAATCATATTTCTCATTTAAATGGGAAAAGAATACGAAATAGATAAGGCTTTAGGCTCAGTTTGAGCCCTATTTTAAAAGAAAAATAAGTTCATAATAGTGATTTTTTTAGAATGTGTGGTAAAGTAGAAATATTTTTTAACTATACGCACAAAATTATTTTATTGGAAGATGTATGGTTGAAGAAAAGTTTGAGGAAAAAATAAACTTTTAGAGTATGTGGCTCAAACAAGTACTTAATATAAATTATAGTTTTCCATAAAAAGCTCAATTACAGGTTTTTGGATAATGCTACTTGCATAACAAGTAATGTCCACCCCCACATAGAGGAGACTCACATCAGATAAATCATATTTTATTCGAAGTAGATCACTTTATGTAAGTGGATGGACACACAGATATACATGTAGCATTGTCCTAGTTTTGTGGAACAATGTAAGAGATGCTCTTTATTTTAGAGAATCAATACTTATACTCTTTATTTTAAGTTTTTTAAATAGAGAGTGAATTTATCCACATTTAGAAAATCAAATTCACTCTCTATATATAGTTTATGACAGGATCTTCAAGAAACTTTTTAAGTATAAGATGTTCTACTTTAGAAAGTCAATGCTTAATAGTAAATTCTTAGAGACTCATTATTTTAACTTTTTAGCAGTATTTTCAACAGACTATTTATTGTTAAAGAGTATTTTGATGATAAATGCGTTGATTGGCGAATATTTTGATGGAGTCCATCAATCGGGGTAAATGCAATCAATTTACCAAAGATTGAGAACAAATCTATTAAAAAACGGTTATATAGTAATGATTTCCTAAGTACTGATACTTCAATACCAGTGACATGTCACATCAATTAATTGATAAATATATATAATGGTTTACATACACGTAATGTGATGAGATAAAAATGGGTTAGAATGTTTTCAACAAAATAAAAAAAAATAAAAATTCTCTACTCACTTTTTGACACCTCATATGTATGTAAATTATTGTGCACAAGTAACATTATTCATTAAAAATGATTGAAAATGAAATAGCAGAAAAGGTGAAAGGTTGAGGCCGTTTCTTGCAATTCATTAAAATTCATTTAGATAAGAAAATCTTTCACTAAATTTAGTCTAGTTTTATTACAACGTATCATGCGCATAATACTACTAACGTGTCATTGTTAGGTAACTGTGATTATTAAGGTCCATTAAAATAAAAATTTGATAAGAAAGAGAAATAATCTATTAAACAACAATATCTTAACATCAACTCAAAATTAAATTCATTGACACCCAAAACCTCTCTCTTATCGAATGCCCTCAAATTGACTACTCTCTAACTCCCTCTTTTCAAGCTTGATTTGTCATTTTTAAAAAAAAATGATATTTCTATTAAATATTATCTTTTGAGTTTTTTTTTTCAAAAAAAATAAATTAAAAGAAATAGAATGTGAAAACTAATTGACACAAAAATATATGAATATAAAATAATTGAAATCATACTAAAAAAAAATTATTTTACTATATTTATATATTTTTTTTAAATTCTGTTTAAATTTTTCATGTACTTATCTAATTATGTATATCTTTCATTTTTGACTCACTATACTTCATTTGGTTTGGTTTAAATTAAACTAAGTTTCCGTACATTTAAAATCATTCAAAGTTAATTAATTAGGGAGCCATATAATTAAATTAAAATCAATTAATTTAATTCAACTACATACTATGAAACCCTTAGCAGCCGTCTCATCTCCCTTTCCTCAATTCTGGTAACCATTTTTCCCATCAATTCATATCACCATTCTTAATAACCAAATCAATGTGTTCAACTATTTCAGTATTTCAAGAATTTGGTTATTGACTTATTGTTTATAGGTCTTATCAAATAGCTTTTGCAGAGAGAATTAGCAATAAGCCGAAAATAGAGATCGAAACGAGAATACGAATTGTTTGCAAACTGCAATAGACATTCATAGCTGCTATTTTGTGTTTTTGATTTCCATAGACACGTTTTGAAGGGTTTGAAGGGTATATATGATTTTCTATTTATGCTTTGAATTTTGAATAGTTTACATCGAGAATTCCAAATGCGACAAGTTTCCTAGACGTCACAAATTCTGTAGCTTTTAAATCTTTCCATTATGTGTTAGTGCTTGTATGGTAGAGATTTTGTTAATTGATTTTTTGACCGTTAAAGATAAAGTGTGTCCTGCTTATGAGATAAGATTTCAAAAATGACGACTGTAATAGTGAAATAAAGGTAAAAAAAATTGATGTTAATTGGATTAAAATCTCTACCAAACAAGCACTAACATCTCTTGAGTATCGGAACAAAAAATATTCTATCAATTTTTACTCCATTTTTATCAGAAAATTATAAATTGCGTTCTTACTTTCGATTGCGAGATGTCGGCAAATGTAAAATGTTCCAAGAATCAAGCAACTCCACGTCAAGGAAGACAGCATCAAGACCAACTTTCCAACTAAAGTGCTTCACAGGAGATCATCATTGCTTGAAAGATCTATGCTTGGCTCTTTTTTGTTATGTTTATGATTTTGTTTAGTTTTAATATATGGTGGCAGCCAGTTCTTACGTATACATGGACTTGATTATTATTCTGATTGTCTGTGTTAATAATTGAACACAACGGGCACATATGAAGTGATCAAGTTGTACAAAAATCGTAAAAATATCTACTTATTATATAGAAATTTCAAGTGATCAGATTCAACAGAGAAAGTGAGTACAATTGGTTGAGTATTAAAAATCAATAACAATCATCTTTTAATCAATAACAGTACTTAAAAATAAAAAATAAAAAATCGAACATGCAATCTGTATTGCCACTATTAACAATCAAAAGAAAAGTGTAATCAAAAACTTGAATTATCCCTTTATCTTGCCACTAATGACAATCAACAGATAGAGTGAGATGATTGTCCACATTATTGTTTGGATTTGTCATTTGATCACTTGATTTATCCCTTTTGTCTTGCCCTGCGATATTGATAATTAGCAACTAGGAGACAGTATGAGCATTCCAAAAGTGAAATTCAAATCAAAGTACTAATAAATTATTTATCTCAGACATTCAAATCTAATATTACTTACATGAAATATTGCAAAAGGTAATTCAAGTTGAAATTAGTCATTTGGAACCAGAAGATTTGAAAAATTAGTATATTAACATTAATGATGAAAATAATGAATTCTCCATCAAAATGATATGACAAATATACAATATGTTTCAAATACTATTGGACAATTTCACTTATCATGTGATTGGCCACAAAGTCCACATCCATGACAAATTCTCTCTTTACTCGCTGCGTTCCTTTTTTCGTATTTTTAGTCTTTTTCCACACCCTTTTGCTTTTACTTGTGGTGGTTCATTGAAGCTTGTGTGCTCTTCAATCCTTTTTTGTGCAGTGAATACCTTTTGAATACCACTATCGATGTTAATTTCCTTTATTTTACTCGGAAGATCCTCTAACCCATTCATTAAGAGATTAGCTCCTTCCTCAGTGAGAGATGCATCATCAACCACAATCGAAGAAAAACGAGATAATTTAGAATGCCCTAACATCAATGTTTGATTTGGAATGTCATCTAGTTCTTCATTATCCTTATCCCAAACTTGACCAATCTTTGCACTTTTGGTCCACCTTTGAAGATATATTGACTTGGCAATTGCAATATTTGTTTGATCCTAAAATACGCCAACATATGTCTACATGAAATTCCTTCACATTGAAATTGTTGAAAACTACAATGTATAGTAACTAAAAACTTACTATAAATAAGTTTTCGAGATCTTAATGTAGAAGCTTCATCAACCCTTTCAA